CTTCAAACACACACACACACGCATACATACACACACTTACTGCAGGCTGAGGGAAGAGGTGGGGGCTGGCAATATCTCCCACCTGCCTGTGAGGCGCTGTAGAGGAGCTCAGTTTCTTTTTCTGTTCTGTTCTTTTTTTTTTTTTTTTTTTTTTTTTTTTTTTTTTTTGAGGCCAGTGCCGTGGCTCACTAGGCTAATCCTCCGCCTGCAGCGCTGGCACACCAGGTTCTAGTCCCAGTCGAGGAGCCAGATTCTGTCCCGGTTGCCCCTCTTCCAGGCCAGCTCTCTGCTGTGGCCCGGGAGTGCAGTGGAGGATGGCCCAAGTCCTTGGGCCCTGCACCCACATGGGAGACCAGGAGGAAGCATCTGGTTCCTGGCTTCGGATCAGTGCAGTGCACCGGCCACAGCGGCCATTGGGGGGTGAACCAACGGCAAAGGAAGACCTTTCTCTCTGTCTCTCTCACTGTCCACTCTGCCTGTCAAAAAAAAAAAAAGATTTATTTGAAAGGCAGAGTTACAGAGAGAGCAAGAGAGAGAGAGAGAGAGAGGTTTTCCATCCGCTGGTTCACTCCTCAAATGGCTGAAACAGCCAGAGCTGTGCTGATCCAAAGCCAGGAGCCAGGTGCTTCTTCCAGGTCTCCCGTGTGGGTGCAGGGGCCCAAGGACTTGGGCCATCTTCTACTGCTTTCCCAGGCCATAGCAGAGAGCTGGGTCAGAAGTGGAGCAGCCGGGATGCTGGCGCTGCAGGCAGTGGCTTTACCTGCTATGCCACAGCACCATCCCCAGTAAATAAAATCTTAAGAAAAAAAAGAAAAGAAATGTAGTCATGAGACAGAGAAATATAGTAATATAAATCACCAACTTATAAAAAGATAGTTGGAACCAAATTATGTTTCTGACACAATGGGACAAGTTAAGGTTACCTGTTCATATGGCAAAACTTTAATCTTTCTTTTTCTTTTTTAAATATTTACTTACTTATTTGAAAGGCAGAGTTAGGGAGGGAGGGAGAGACAGAGAGAAAGAGAAATCCATCTGTTGGTTCACTCCTCAAATGGCGACCATGGCTGGCTGGGGCTGGACCTGGCCAAAGCTAGGAGCCCGGAATTCCATCTAGGTCTCCCGTGTGGGTGCAGGGGTCCAAGCACTTGGGCCATCCTCCACTGCCTTCCTAGGCTCATTAGCAGGGAGCCGGATTGGAAGTGGAGCAGCCGGAACTTGAACCAGCTGTGGCAGGTGGTGGCTTACCCTGCAGGCCCATGACACCTTTAAGTCTTATTATCAGGCAAAGCCTTTCCCCTAGCAGCTTTGTTTTTTCCTTCTTTTCAGTCTCAAGTGGATTTTGGGGCTGACTGTGGCATGTTTACGTTGTCACTGGGACTGACTGGAACAACAAAGCCAATAACAAAATTGCGTCTCTTCTCTGTGTTGGCTTTGTTTGCTTAACTCATCCACCTGGCTGGGAATCACTTTGTGAAACAGTTCTTTAAAAGGTGCAGGGTTGGGGCCGGCGCTGTGGTGCAGCGGGTTAACGCCCTGACCTGACGTGCCAGCAACCCATATGGACATCGGTTCAAGACCCGAGACCCGGCTGCTCCACTTCTGATCCAGCTCTCTGCTGTGGCCTGGGAAAGCAGTAGAAGATGGCCCAAGTCCTTGGGCCCCTGCACCTGCACAGAAGACCCAGAAGAAGCTCCTGGCTCCTGGTTTCGGATTGGCGCAGCTCTGGTCACTGTGGCCAATTGGGGAGTGAACCAGTGGATGGCAGACCTCTCTCTCTACCTCTCTTCTCTCTGTGTAACTCTGACTTTCAAATGAATAAATAAATCTTTTTTTAAAAAAAAGTTCCAGGGTTTTATTTCCTGGCCACTGTGGCAGCCAAAGACCTTTGATTATTGCTCAAGATTTTGACCAAGGCCTGAGGTCAAAAAGTCAAGAGCGTCTCACCACCTTAACTATGGGCAAGGCAAGCGAAAGTCTCATTTCCCAAAACAAGGATTCTTAGGTATGCTGGTTGCCATGGAGCTGCTTTAAATTGCAGGATTATTAATCTGACAGTGTTTTCCCTTATCTTGGCTGAAATACCGTAAGAAAAACTTTTTAGCTGGCATTGCTCTATTTTTGTTTCAGTTTGTCTTTGTCTTAACATAAGTAAAACTAAGCAGATTCAAAATAGAGGAAAAAATTAGAGAGATAGACCAAGAGCCAAAAGACCTGTTGTGGTCTAAGAATTAGCCTTTCCCATTGATCTTTTTTTTTTTAAAGTATATGTATGGAAACAGAATATAAAATAGCTGGTAGAGTCCCCAAGGGGAACTTCCCTGAGTGCATTAGAATTTCTGGACCCCACTTTGCCGGACTGTGAGAAGCGACACCATCTTACAGCCACACTGCTATCTTAGGAGCTCAGCCGTCAGCCCACACTCTCCCAAGCTGCACTGCTATCTTAAGAGTTCAGCCGTTAACCCAAACCCTCCAACTATCTAAGCGTTCAGCTGTTTGCCCAAAGCCCCGGCTTTCCTCATGGAAAACTGGTGTGGTTTGGGGGTAGATGGGCCTGGTTGGTTCTCCTTGCTCGTGGGTCACAGTATGAAGCTGTAGTTAACTGGCCTGCACCCATCTTGACATTGCTCGTGTTGCCTAGCTTGCCCCTGTCCTCCCAGGCCCTGGTAAAGGAGACCAAGGAGGCAGCTTTTAGGATGGGAGCTAAGGGGTGCTCAGTCCCATCCCAAATCTTTGGAGGCCTCGGCGAGAAATCTGTCATCACAGGCATGTTCTGACAGTGTCCACTCCCCCATGAGATGAGGCAGTGGCCATGAGTAGAGCTACATTCTAGGTAGGATCAGACTTGATGACCACCTTACCCAACCTACCTATACATTTCGAAGTCTTTAGTAAAACTTTTTCTCTCTCCCTTAGTTTGGTTTGAGAAGAGGGGTTTTGCCTGCTCACTGTGCCTCATAGCAAAACAAATGTCGCTATAAGATCATGTTATAATTTAGGTTCTCATTTTTGGATACACTATTTGGTCTTCTGTATGTGGGGGGCATTACTACAGAAAAAGGCTGGGGACCGGAGCTGTGGCGTAGCGGGTAAAGCTGCCACCTGCAGCACCCGCATCCCAAATGGGCACCAGTTCGAGTCCTGGATGCTCCTTTTCTGATCCAGCTCTCTGCTATGGCCTGGGAGAGCAGTGGAAGATGGTCCAAGTGTTTCAGCCCCTGCACCCATATGGGAGACCTACTGGAAGCTCCGGGCTTCAGATCGGCCCAGCTCTGGTCTTGTGGCCATTCGGAGAGTGAACCAGTGGATGGAAAACCTCTCTCTCTGTCTCTCCCTCTCTCTGTCTGTAAATTTACCTCTCAAATAAATGAATAAATAAATCTTAAAAAAAAAAGGCTGGTCATCTTTCTATTAGGTCTGGGGATCAAGTTGTATATCCTGGAGGAGATTCAGCATACAGAGTCAGTTTTCCATCGAGAGAATAGAGGAGAAACAAGGCCGCAGGCCAGCCTCCCAGACTGCTTACCTTGCCTATCTGGGCTTTCAGACTCAACAGGTTCTCATCACGTGGCCACGGCCTGGGTTGCTGGGCTTAAGTAGTGTTCATGTACTCCAGCTCCAGTCACCTCTATGTCTCTTTTAGGAACATTTTCTCCATTTGGCTGGACCTCCTTTTTTGATTTGACTTAATTGATTATGAATGCATGATAAAGCAGTTACAGGCAGCCATGCACAAGAACTCTTTTTTTTTTTTTTATAATCTCTTGTTCTTATTTAATTTTGTTGGAGGTTGACACCAGTGCCTTTACTTTGATTTTTACTACTTCCTCGTGGTCAAAATCCTTTTTGAGCACATCATTGATCAATCGCCTTGCGGCCAGCTTTTATTTGTCCCTCATCGCCAGGTCAGATTTGACCTGGTTCTTGATCTGGTGCCCTGTAGTGGGAGAAGAGGGAGCTGCCCAGGAGTCAGTGTCAACAACCCTTTGAGCCACACTGAAGCAACAAAGAGGTTTTAGGAGAAGGGATCCCCGGGGCAACTGTCCCAGGAGCCCGTTGTTAAACTTAGCTCTGTCTGTTCACAGAGCTGCCCCAAAGCACTCTATAGCTACAACCTACATCACAGAAAAACGTCCTTTGGAACCTAGAAGAGGAAACATTTAAACACAGAATCAACAATACTTTAATTTCCATGAGCAGTGGCTTTGCAATTTTTTTGTAAGAAAACCTGCATTTAAGAACATTTGTTAGAGCCTTTTTCATAAATCTGATTGTGTTTTTAGAGAAGAATACAAAATTGCAGATGACAAAAAACTTTAAGTAGCCATGGTTAAAATTATAAAACTCATTCATCGACACACGTTGTTTCCCTTCAATCTCTGAGAGCAGAAACAATCTTGTAGGCCCCGCGAGGGAATTTTACAGGTTTGACAAAGTGCTTTGCTTTGCTTTCACCAGGGGATCTGGTTACAGGAATCTGTGAGTACCAGACGGATGGCTTTGGTGCAAGGTGGTGGCTCTGGCACAGGCATGCACACACCACCTGGCTTTACTGATTTTGATACAAACAACTCCATTTTGATTTCTGACTTGCTTCACATGGCCCAGCAGCCCAGTGGGACTTGCTTTGGCCTGGGGTAGAGCAATATCTGGGTTCCACTCTTAATAGTTCTGGTGGCTTTGTACCGGCCATTAACCCAGTGTTCTAGATTCCCTGAATCTCTGTTTTCAAATAAACCCATGCAGGAAGCATCGATTCTGTCTGTAGTTTGAAGAAACAAACAAGCCATAGGGAGCTGAGGTAAGTGCGACAGAACTCAGATATTTAACCCCAGAGCCTGTATTTTAACCCCTACATTGTCTTCGCTCAGTTTGTTCTCACAGTCACGGCCCACAGAGAAGAATGCACCTGTACACACCTGCCAGCACCACCCCCACCGTGCGCATGCGCGCCCATACACACACACACACACACACACACACACACGGGCACAGAGTTTGCGGATGAACTGCTTTATTCAAGTGACCCTCAGGACCTTAGCTGCTACAGCTGAGAAGGAAGTAGGATTTGGAATTCCAAGAATGGAGGAAGTGGGGAAATCTGCAGCCCAAGGAGGCCTGGGAAGGGGCCCCGCCAGCCCCGCCCCAGCAGTGGGCTTCTCCTTCTGGGTGGGGTGGGGGCAGGGGAGAAGTGCTCTTGTCTTGCCCCTAGGGTGGGTGAGGAGGGCCGGGGCGGGAGGGGAATGGAGCGCGGCGAGGCCAGGCGCTCTCAGCAGCTGGGGGTCCGCCCGCTGCAGCGATTGTTGGGGTAGAACTGGTACTTCCTGCTGTAGCTTTTCCGGTTCCTAGCAAAACAGTAGGCTGCCGCTTTATCACATTCACACAGCTGGCTCCTACAAGAGTCCTGTTTCCCTGAAATCCAAGAAAACAAACACGGGCAGGGCTTCGTTAGGTTTCTCCGGCTTCCTATGGAACCCTGGGAAAACTCAGCCCAGGCGCCAGAAGCTCCTAGTGTCAGGCAAGCACCGGCGCCCCGGGTGCCCCTGACAGCGGGGGAGCCAGAATCACTGCCCTCGGGAAGCCGGCTCCCGGCGGCGGGGACGCACAGCAACCGTGCGCTGAGAGACGGCTCCACACCTTCTGACAGCCATATTCACCTCCTTCTCGCTAAACACTGGTGGGAGGGGCAAGGCCTGCCCTGGGACCTGATAACAAACCGCGATTGGAGGAATCCCTCTTTCTTGGTTATGATTGGTCTCTCAGAACCATGTGACCTGGTGCTGACCAATGAGCCACTGAGGGAAGGCCGGTGAGGACTTCTGGGAAGGATTCACTTCCTGCCTCCACACACAGAGCCGCGCAGTGGGAAAGCCGCCCGAGAGGGTGGGGCCGCTGTGCTGGAGCCGCAGCCGCTGCCTGCGCGGCCCTGCGTGGATGCTGCCAGGACAGCAGAGCCCAGGGCTGGGGAAGCCTGGGTCCCGGATGCTGGGGCTGAGAAGCTGCCCCAGGCCCGGCCCTGCCTCCCCCAGAATCCTTACACGGCAGTCGGCCGGGCCGCGTTCCCAGCCACTGTCAGTCGGCACCTGCTGCTTGGGACCTGCCCGCAGGGAGAGGCCATGGTGGAGAGAGAGCTCCTGACCCTCAGGACTCGGGGTGTGGACGCAGGCACGGCCTCCCGCCCAGCCTGGATGTGCTGTGCGGGACCCCAGCACCCTCCCTGCAGCATCAGCTCTCTGCTCCCTGCAGCGCCAGGCTCTCCACTCAGCGTCTCCTCTGCCGGTGCCGTCCTCGCGTTCTCCCACTGCGCGGCCGGCTCTCCTCTGCCTGGAGAGCTCGCTGTGCCCCCGGGGGCCTGCCTGCCTCTTGGTCCGAGCAGCGCTGTTGGCCCCGTCATGGCCGCCCCCCTCTCCAGTGGGTGTTGTCAGTCATCTCCTCACTGACACCCGGACCTGCTCACCCACCTGGCCTCATCTCTGGGTGCCCATCCCCCTCTGTCTCCTTCCTGGGCCTTGAGCCACCCAGTGGGGGAGCGCCAGACCCCCTGCAGCTACCTGCTGCTGGCCTCTGAGTGTGGCCCAGGCCAGCGCCCCCCCCCCAGCTGCAAGTCCCCCCCCACCTGCCCCTGTGCACTGATAGAACTGCCCCTCCCCACACTCCACCCTGGCTCCTGCCACCCTCATCTCCGTGGTGCCCCCACTGTCACAGACCAGGCGCTCCCTACCCCACCCCTACCCAGGCCATCACTACACTGGGCTGGTGCTGCCTCAAGTGCATCTTGGTTTCATTCTCCACCCCTTCCTCCCTCCCGACCCCCACCTGCTCTCAGCATTTGTCTGCTCTATGCCCCGCCCCCTCACTACTGCCCTTCCTGTGGCATCCACCCTGCAGGCGGGGCCAGTCCTGAAGTGCAGGTGACCCTCACTCCTGTGTGCACCTGCTCCCTGCTGCTCTGGGACAAACTCCAGATGCCTCCCGGGCTTGGGGCCTGGCTTGCCTCAGCCCCTTCCTCCCTCCCCAGCGTCACTGCTCCCCACTCCCCCTCCTGCTGAGTCTCCCTGGGCAGCACAGGGTGGCGTCCAGTGCCCTCTGGTCCCTTACGCCTGGGCCGCGTCCTCTCTGCACCGTCTCCGACTGCCCTCCTCCCTGGCTCTCTGCACAGCTGGTGCAGCCCAGCCGAGGTGGCCCCCCTCTCGGGGTGACCTGGAGCACCTGCCGCTGTTGGGTCCGTCCTTGGTGTCCTTGCTTCTGGAGTGTTGGCCACCTCTGTCCTCGCTGTCCTTACTCCCACCCAGACCTGAGCTTCTAGAGGCAGGGACAGCGTCCGTTTGCTTCTCTCGCTGTGGTCCCACAGTGGGCGCTCAGGGGATGAATGGGGGAACTCGATGGGGTCGTGGGGCTCTCACTCACCACAGGTGATTTTGCCACGGCTCATGCTGAATTTGTAGCTCAGGAACTTGGTGCCACATTTACGTTTCTCCAGACGGCGGTAGCAGCAGTCATGGGCAAGACAGCACCTGAGCAGGAGGACATCCTGTGAGTGCCTCCCCACAGCTCCAGGGTCCCTGGGCCCCCTGTGTCACCCCCTTGACCCTGGGCAGAGACCCAGTGAGTCTGGCATCGTCTGGAGCCTGGGTTTGCAACACGCTGGCGGCTTTTGCAGCAGGGACGTGCTGGGACCTCTGAGTTCATGAGGCACCTGCTGGGCCCAGAAGTGAACAGGGGGAAGGGAGGGCTGGGGTGGCCTCACCGGTCTGTTGCATCCTTGGGGGCTCCTCTGCCCCCCACACCGCAGTGACAGCCGTAGGCGCCATAACTGGTTGTAGCTTCCTTTCCCGTCGTATAACGGATCATTTTCCGGAAATCCAGAAGATGCCCGTAGACCTGTAGGAAGCCTGGGAGAATTCAAGAAATGACCCACTGGTGGGAGATGGAGCCCTGTATCTGCTCTCTCTGTTACTCTCTCTCCCCAGAGTTCTTCTCTTTTCCTCCCTCTGAGAGAGGGCAGCCTGGGAACAGAGGTGCCTCCCTCCCTGTGCTATCCCCTGGGTTTAGAGGTCAGGGTCAGCTCTTACCAAAGGTCAGGATCACTGCCAATAACAGCAGGGTCTTCATGTTGAGAGCTGTGCCTGTTGGGACAAGGGCAAAGAGACTGGTCTAGACCCCTCTCCTAGGTGGTCTCAGCTTCTACCCTTGCCCCTGCTCTTCTGCCGAACCCCCGAGCCCCTAGGATATGCATGCTGGATCCCTTGGGCTCTGTCCAGGGTGGCCTCCTCTGTCCTACCTAGAGGACACACACAGTAACCTCCAGTACTGCACATACACCTGCAGGAATAATTTCACACACACGAGGCCCTCACACCCATGGAGATCCAGTAGCCCCATGATGACGAATAAGCTCCGCCCAGCTCCTCATCAGACTAAGAGCTCCTGCAAGGACACATCCAGATTCATCCCAAAGAGCGGGCGGGTTCCGGAGGTCAGAAACTTCTCTCCAGTTAGACACTGCTGCGTGTCTGCGCCTGGGGTGAAGGGTGAGCAATCTCATACAACCAGTGTGAGCCCCCATAGGTTCCTCTGGAACCAAAGCTGCGTCCTGTCCTTCTGCCCCTTACACACACACACACACACACACACACACGCACACGCACGCTGGAATTAGTGCACATGTCCTTCCCTACAGAATGTTCACATACCCATACGACACACTCTGTCACGCTCATGCTGCTGTACATACCAAATCATGCACAGACAGGTTTGCACACCTGTGCCCACATGCACATGCACACACACGGACAACACAGTCGGCTAATGCGAAAGTCAAGGTCAGCTAATGAGAACAAATTCCTTTGCCCTTGACAGAGCTTTCATTTCTGGGTGTTTACCTCTCAGAGGATGACGGAGCTGATGCCTCCAAGCCTTTCTCTGGTTTATTCTGAACTCCTGCTCCCCTTAAGTAGCTGACTTGTCTAGGATGTTGGGGGTTGGTGAGGCAGCACTTACGGGTGGGTGTGGTCAATTGGTGGACTCCATGATTGGCTGCCCATGCCCCTGGGTAATCCCCTTTTCTTCCCCTCATCAGCTTGCAAAACAAAGTTGAGGATTAAGACCTTCTGTGCCATGAGCTGATGCCAGAATAAATCTCAGGTCATTCTGAAGCCATTGCTGTGGGCTTAGCTCCTGACTCGGGCAGAGGCCCCTCAGCGGCTCCAAGTGTGACCACTGGGCTTTCCCTCGCTGCAGCCACACCCAGGAGTGCTAAGCCCTGCGTACTTGGCAGGGCTGAGGGCTCAGGAATAGACAAGACTGAGGGCGATGCTCCCCTCTTCCGCTAAATCAGAGAAAAAAACACTCCATGCTGTCCATCCATGAATCACTTGGTCACGGAAAGTACATCCTGAGCCTTGTAGGTTCCAGGAAATTGTTCAGTGGGGAGGGACCCCTTTCCCTTAACTGGGGCCAGAGCCTCCAGCCTCCCTTCTTCCTCTTTAGTGTCTTCCTCCTCCCCATCCCACTGGGGAGGTTCGAAGCCTGGAAAAAATCAGAAGCTGTCCTTGAAGTTCTCGGCCAAGAGCTGGCCCTCGTCTCATCCCCATCCCAGCCCAGCTGGAGCCGGGCCCATCCCTGCTCCTGGGATCAGCTGTTCCTTTCTGCCTTGGCCCTCAGGGACTTAGTGACTGCCCACTTAATTCCTAAAGCACGCGTCTCTTTATTCCAATGTGTGTGAGAATTTAGCTTCTGTGGTCTGAAGTCAACACTCACCGCCAGTGGTCCTCCAACAGCCCCCGTGCACAGGCTGTGGGGCTCAGGAATGTTCTGTGTGTTCCCCGCCCTCCCCAGGTCTGGCCCCTGACAACTTAGGCTGCTCAGATGCGAGATCAGGCTGGATCTCGCCCTGTCCCTGCCCCTTGGGGATGGACGCCAGCTGGTGGCTGACTCTCGGCCTGCAGAACAGCCGTCCTGGACCATGGGAGCCCCCGGGGGCCTAGGGAGGGAGAAACAGCCCCTGTGGCGCTAAGTCTGTGGTGATGGAGGTTGGTTACTATTGCAGCAGTGCCCGTCTAGCCCAGGAGCCATCCGGTCAGCTTTCCCTTGAGAATGCAACTCCCCCCACCCCTCCCCCAGTGCTAGACCTGGGTTTTTGGGTTGAATTGTGCCCCGCCCCCCATTCCTGACCTCATTCCCCTTGTTTAATTCCTAGTTATTCAGAGTGTGAATGTGTGTGGATGCAGGGTTACTGCAGATGTAATGACTTCAGGTCACCTCCCCAGAAGACCTTAATCCAACCCGCCTGGGGTTCTTAAGGCAAGGGGGCGTGAGGACACAGAGACACACAGTGAGGGAGGAGGACGGGCGGAGACGAAGGCGGAGATGGGCGATGCTGCTGCAAGCCCAGGAAGAGCCGCGAAGGCCACACAGCCGGCAGCAGCCGGGGCAGAGCCTGGAGCAGCTTCCCCGTCAGTCACAGCGCTTGGAGGGAACCACCCGGGAGGGGGGAGGGCACCTTTGACCTCTGCCTCTGGGACGGCCACTTCTGTTGTCTCAGCCACTCAGATGGTGGAACTCGGCACCCAGCAGGAAGCCAGAGCAAACCAACCCAGCCTCTGAAGCCCTCCTTCCCTGCTCTCGGTGCGGGGTTCCTCTCCTAGGGCAGTGCGTTTTATGGCTGAGTCAAGATTTAGATCTTGGGGTTGGCATCATGGCTCAGTGGGGTGAGCCATTGGTGCGATGCCAGCATCCCACATGGACACTGGTTCAAGTCCTGGCTGCTCCACTTCCAATCCAACTCCCTGTCTTTTCTGCCTGGGAAAGCAGCAGAAGCGTCAAGTGTTTCCCACGTGGGAGACCCAGATGGAGTTCCAGGATCCTGGCTTCGGCCTGGCCCAGCCCCAGGTGTTGCAGTCACTGGGAGAGTGAACCAGCAGATGGAAGGTCTCTCTCTCTCTCTCTCTCTCTCTCTCTCTCTCCCTTTCAAGTAAATAAATAAGCTATACTTATATGTATGTATGTATATATATGTATATATATACATATATATATATATATAGAGAGAGAGAGAGAGAGAGAGAAAGAGAGAGAGAGAGAGAGAGAAACCTCATCCTTGGACCACACAGTAGCCTTTGGATCTTTTGTTACTGCAATAAGCAGAACAGCCTCTCTCTGTGTGAATGCTCGTGGTCCAGCCCTGGTATCTGGTCTTGGCTTTGGGCGGAACTGCTTGAACACACAAGGAGCCCTGCTGGCATCAGACAAGGTCTCTATTCACATCAGTGAGTTTGAGTGTAAACTTGAGCTGAAAATACAAAGAGCTCCCGCACGGTCCCTCCCCACAGCACACATGCTCTGCCATCATCAACATCCATACACCTGTTACCATCAATGAGCCGGCATTGACTCATCCTTATCAAAGAAAGACATAGTTGACATTATGGGTGTCACATGCTATGGTCTGCAAATACATAATGACCCCTATGCACCCTGATGCTGTTATACAGAGTCATTTCACCAGTCTCAAAATCCTCTCCTTTTCACCTGCTCATCGCTCTTTCTCCCAAACCTCTGGCAGCCAGTGGTGTTTTAACTGTCACCGTGGTTTTGCATGTAGTTGGAATCTTCCATCGTGCAGCCTTTTCGGGCTGGCTTCTTTCACTTTGTCGTATGCCTCTAAGTTTCCTCCATGTCCTTTTGGGACTTGAGAGCTCGCTCTGCTTCCTCCTTGAATAGTCCACTCTCTGGATGTAGCAGTGTATCTGTTCCCTTTTCGGAGGGCATGTTGGTCGGATCCACATTTGGCACCTTGGAATCGAGGTGCTGTAAACATTTATGGACAAATTTTGTTTTCATTTTGGTGAATAGCAATGAATAAAATAGCTAGATCGTTGGAGAAGAGTTTAATGTTTAGCTTTGAAAGAAACTGCCAAATGGCCTTCCCAACTGTGCCTTCCCAATGGTGATTGAGGGTTCCCGTGGCTCCACATCTTCATCAGTATTGGGCGTTGTCATCGCCATTCTCAGAGGTGCGTGGTGACAGCTCAGGGTAAGGGATGTGCTGTCATGGTGCATTAGATGGAGCGTCTTCTCGCGTGTTTGTTAATGTGTGTCTCCTTCTCTGAGACATCCGTTGAGATGTTTCCCATTTTTAATGGGTTGTCCTTTTCTGTTGTTGTTGAGTTTTAGGGATTGTTTAAAACTTTTTTATTTATAGAAAGTAAACAGATTTCATATATACAGACCCAGGAGCACAGAGGGACTTCTCCCCCACGCTCCCCCCCCTCCCCCCTCCTTCCTTTCTTATTCTTTCTTTCAATTCTTACAATGATACACTTTGAGTCCATTTTATAACCACAAGATCAACCCTCCACCCACTAAAGATTTCAAAAAAAAAAAGAAAAGAAAAGAAAAAAGATCCACTGCTCCACCATAGAGACAAGGGCTGCAAACAACAATCAATTCTCAAAATGTCGATTTTGTTTATATAAATTACTTTTTTGTACTTCATAGATTGTAAATAACACTGCATTATGAGTTATAATGTTCCTTTGAGTTGTATCTTTTGTGACAAATAGCTTCCTCCCTCACCTTTTTCCCTCTTTCAACATAGTCCAATGATTACAGTCTTGAGTACCTTGGTTATTTACATATTTGACCCTTTGTCACTTAAAAGAAGGATGAAAGTTGGAAACCAGGAGAGACTGGGTGTGAGTCCAGAGCCCCTGGAAGCAGATGCCAAGAGGTTGTGGGAAGGGCAAGAGATGTGTGGGGGAAACAGCTCTGCAGGTTATGGGGGAGGGGAGAGGGAAGAGTAGGTGGGGCAAGTGCTGGGGCAAGAAGTAGGTCTGAGGGCTCTGAGTGGAGAGGGGGAGGGACTGGGATTGCGTGGGAAGAGCCTCCAACAGCAGGGCAGCCCCGGGAACCCTGGGGAGGGCACAGGGAGTCCCCGCGTGCCCCCAGGGATGCCTCAGCTGGGGGGACAAGGAGTCCCCACGTGCTCCGGGAGCCCTCGGCCAGGGGACAGGGAGTCCCCGCGTGCCCCCGGGGATGCCTCAGCTGGGGGTACCAGGAGTCCCCACGTGCTCCGGAACCCTGGGGAGGGGACAGGGAGTCCCCACGTGCCCCCGGGGATGCCTCAGCTGGGGGGACAAGGAGTCCCCACGTGCTCCGGGAGCCCTCAGCCAGGGGACAGGGAGTCCCCGCGTGCAGAGTGCCTTCCAGCAGAGCGGGCGCTGTGGTGAGGAGGCCTGGCTGTGCCGGCCTGTCGTGGGCCTCCACGGGGAACATGGCACTGTCGGGAACACTGGTGGGTCCCCAAGGAGCATGCCCCCGGGACTGTCTGTAACGACTCTCCTTGCGCACTTGGAGACAGCGGAATTGTGCGCTCCTGGGTGGCTACGGAACAGCTTACTCTGGGTGCAGATTTTAGGACATTGAGGGCCACTTTTCGTTGTTACTGTTGTTTAATGGAGTCATTCAGCATGGCAAGGTAGAGCTTGGAAGGCAGAGGATTCGGAGCTCTCCTCACTGGTGGCAGGACTGTGGAATGGGACAATCCTTTCGGAAAGGTGTTTGACCTGCCTTTGGAAAATTAAACGTATCTTTATCCTTTAAGTAAATAGTTCGAGTCCTAGGTGTTTATCCAAGAGAAATGAAAACTTCCTGTCCACATAGATATTTATATGAGACTCTCCATGACAGTTTCTTCAAAACAGCCTAGAGCGGTAATAGTCGGAACTTCCATTATTCGGAGGATGGGTATTCAGCTGGTAGCGTGGGAAGGCTGTGGAATGGCCAATAAAAAGGAGAACAAACTATACTCTAAACTATTACATATCAATACTTTACAGTAAAATGTGACTTTATTGTTTATATCATTAGAACTATAAAGAACATACTCATGGCCGGCGCCATGGCTCAATAGGCTAATCCTCTGCCTGGGAGCCAGCATACCAGGTTCTAGTCCCGATCAGGGCATGGATTCTATCCTGGTTGCCCCTCTTCCAGG